CCTTGCATCGCGGCCATATTAAACAACAACAACTTGATATAAACTATTCTTGTTAAGATGTTCTGAGTATTGCTGGTTGTCGTGGCAACGGTCGCCATATTGAACTCAGTATTATGCGGTTTTGTTTAAAAAAAAAAAAAAAATGGCTGTGAATCAATGTGGCGCATTTTCTGCTTGTTATAAAAAAGTAAATCGCTTTAAGAAATAAGGCGCGTTGAAAGTGCTTGTAGGCGTGTGTCAGTCGATCTGTTCACGTGTATGTAACTATGAAATTACGAATGCATGAATGAGAGGATGTATGCAGAAAGGTATAGATGGATTGTATAATTATTTAATTTCACGGCCAGAGAGAGAGACGGAGAAAGAGAGAGAGAGAGAGAGAGAGAGAGAGAGAGAGAGAGAGAGAGAGAGAGAGAGAATAGCGGTTAGTCGTAAGTTTTTTCCAGTTGTTCACAGACAGATGACGGGAAGAGTTGTCTACTGTATACCATAGAGCGACATAGTGTGCAGCTTACATCTGGGCAGATAGAACGGAGGCTGTACGCGTCTGCTGTCGTTGGTGCCATCGTGCACCAGTTGTCCCATAAGACACCATTAGGTCAATTTGTGAACTGCAGTAAAGCTGTAAAATTGTATACTTGGGGGAGGGGGAGGGGGAGGGGGGGCCGTAACGAGACACATAAATAGTCAGCTTCCCAATAAAACACAATCTCTAAAATAAAAATAACGCTGAGAATAGAAATTCTGATAAAAGCTTTTTAGCCGCAAAGTTCCATTTGTCATTCGTGATTATGTTATTGTGGTTCCCCCCCCCCCTTCTCTCTCTCTCTCTCTCTCTCTCTCTCTCTCTATCTCTCTCTTCTCTCTCTCTCTCTCTCTCTCTTCCCTCCCCCTCTCTCTCTCTCTCTCTCTTCCCTCCCCCATTCTCTCCCCCCTCCCCCTCTCTCTCCCTCTATTTCTCTCTCTCCCCTCCCCCCTTCTCTCTCTCTCACTCTCTCTCTCCCTCTCTCTCTCTCTCCCCTCCTCCCTCCCCGGAAGCTTGAGAGCTTACACAGCTGTGTGTGTGGTTTGTGTGGGTGGTTTAATGCACCAGCCATGTTTGACAGCTAAAAAACTCTAGAAAGATTCTCCGAGTACCATGGACAAAGAAGACCAGAAATACTGGCATCATCATAGATCTGAACATCCGTGAGGATTGCCTAGGGAACTACAGCTTCTCTCGGAAACTGAATGTGTTGGCCATATAAAACATCACAACGGCACCAGGAATGAGGGGCCGGGGCCGACCAGCACGAAGATGGGCACTTGGTAAAAGTGACATCTTGTATAGGAACGTGCACTAGGCGAGAGAGCTGGTGACCGATCAAGTTTCTTTCAGGAGAACCGCGATGACAGTGACCTTCCACAAAGGACCTGCTACGTGACGGTCATGACGAAATGTGCCAAAAGCATCCAAACTAAAAAAAAAATCACATTTCCATCAGATGAATTGACGGTGGCACCGCTTTCAGGTTGGAACTAAATAGACTGGAAATATCATATTTACGCTTCCTTATAGTCTTATGCAGTTGTACGTACGTTATGTTTAACTATTATCCATAGAGAGTACTTTCTGTTATTTCAACATCTACATATAGTCTGTATCAGTCAGTCAATCAGTAGCATGTCCTTTGCAGAACCTTGCTCGATTTACAACCTTCCGGAAAGCTTCTCTATCACAAGCAAGATGTTCTGCGTCGGATCCACCCATCTGTAGATCATTCACCACATCCTCCACCCATCTGTAGATCATTCACCACATCCTCCACCCATCTGTAGATCATTCACCACATCCTCCACCCATCTGTAGATCATTCACCACATCCTCCACCCATCTGTAGATCATTCACCACATCCTCCACCCATCTGTAGATCATTCACCACATCCTCCACCCATCTAATAGCCAACCTTCTTCAGTTTTCCGTTCTTTAAGATGGAATGCATTTGTTCTCTTCCCTGCCCAGGATATTCTTAGAACCCGTCTTTAACATTTGTATTCAAAGGCATTTATGCGCTGTTCAGCTTGTTTAGTGACTAGGTCTCTCAGGCGTATTTTGCAATGGGAAGGATTGATGCTCTTAGAAATCTAATTTTTGTAGTTCTGTCTGTCCTACTCCATATTTTAATTTATTCTGTTGTTTTAGTCTTTAAAGAGCAAAGTCGTCGTTTAATTTGTTTCATTGTGTCACCATTGTGTGTAATCAGTGACCCAAGATATTCAAAATGTTCCATAACCTCCAGTCTTTCCCCCTTAACATATATTTCTTTCTCCATAGTAGTTTTACCTGCATACGTTATGTTTGTTTTTGCCATGTTAAGGTATAAGTTGTGATTTTTACTATTTCTTTGGGTGGAGGTTATTCAGTCTATACCAGTCTGTGATGTGGATAGCAATACTGATCGGATCTCTGGCATTTAAATAGTCTGTACGCTCTCTGCTATATCTACACTTACTTATAGTTTGTACACTCTGTTATCGAAACGTTTAACTGTAATCTGTGCGCTCTGTTATCTTAAAATTAAAATTTACCTATAATATGTGCACTCTATTATCTCAGCCCTTACCTATAATCTGTATGTTATGTTATCTTAGCACTTACCTGTAGTCTCTACGCTCTGTTATCTCAGCCCTCACCTATAGTTTGTACGCTCTGTTATCTCAGCACTTACCCATAGTCTGTACGCTCTGTTATCTCAGCACTTACCTATAGTCTGTACGCTCTGTTATCTCAGCACTTACCTATAGTCTGTATGTTATGTTATATCTCAGCACTTACCTATAGTCTGTACGCTCTGTTCTCTCAGACTGACCAATAGTCTGTACGCTCTATTATCTCAGCACTTACACATAGTCTGTACGCTCTGTTCTCTCAGCACTTACCTATAGTCTGTACGTTCTGTTATCTCAGCACTTACCTATAGTCTGTATGTTATGTTATATCTCAGCACTTACCTATAGTCTGTACGCTCTGTTCTCTTAGCACTGACCAATAGTCTGTACGCTCTATTATCTCAGCACTTACACATAGTCTGTACGCTCTGTTATCTCAACGCTTACCTATAGTCTGTACGCTCTGTTATCTCAGCACTTATCTATAGTCTGTACGTTCTGTTATCTCAGCACTTACACATAGTCTGTACGCTCTGTTATCTCAACGCTTACCTATAGTCTGTACGCTCTGTTATCTCAGCACTTATCTATAGTCTGTACGTTCTGTTATCTCAACCCTTACCTATAATCTGTATGTTATGTTATATATCAGCACTTACTTATAGTATGTACGTTCTGTTATCTCAGCACTTACCTATAGTCTGTACGCTCTGTTATCTCAGCACTTACTTATAGTCTGTACACTCTGTTATCTCAACCCTTACCTATAGTCTGTACGCTCTGTTATCTCAGCACTTATCTATAGTCTGTATGTTCTGTTATCTCAACCCTTACCTATAATCTGTATGTTATGTTATATCAGCACTTACCTATAGTCTTTACGATCTGTTATCTCAACCTTTACCTACAATCTGTATGTTATGTTATCTTAGCACTTACATATAGTCTGTACGTTCTGTTTTCTCAGCACTTACATATAGTCTGTACGCTCTGTTAATTCAGTACTTACCTATAATCTGTACGTTCTGTTATCTCAACCCTTACCTATAATCTGTATGTTATGTTATCTCAGCACTTACCTATAGTCTGTACGTTATGTTATCTCAACCCTTACCTATAATCTGTATGTTATGTTATCTTAGCACTTACCTATAGTCTTTACGTTCTGTTATCTCAACCCTTACCTATAGTCTGTACGCTCTGTTATCTTAGCACTTACCTATAGTCTGTACGTTCTGTTATCTCAACCCCTACCTATAGTCTGTACGTTCTGCTATCTCAGCACTTACCTATAGTGTGTACGCTCTTTTATCTCAGCACTTACCTATAGTCTGTACGCTCTGTTTTCTTAGCACTTACCTATAGTCTGTACGCTCTGTTATATCAGCACTTACCTATAGTCTGTACGCTCTGTTATCTCAGCACTTATCTATAGTCTGTACGCTCTGTTATCTTAGCACTTACCTATAGTCTGTACGCTCTGTTATCTCAGCACTTATCTATAGTCTGTACGCTCTGTTATCTCAGCACTTACCTATAGTCTGTACGCTCTGTTATCTCAGCACTTACCTATAGTCTGTACGCTCTGTTATCTCAGCACTTATCTATAGTCTGTACGCTCTGTTATCTCAGCACTTATCTATAGTCTGTACGCTCTGTTATCTCAGCACTTACCTATAGTCTGTACGCTCTGTTATCTCAGCACTTACCTATAGTCTGTACGCTCTGTTATCTCAGCACTTACCTATAGTCTGTACAAACTGTTATCTCAACGCTACCTATAGTCTGTTCTTTCAGTTATCTCAACGCTACCTAAAGTCTATACGCTTTGTTATCTCAACGCTTACATATAGTCTTTATGCTCTGTTATCTCTGAACTTATCTTTATTCTGCACGCTTTGTTATCCTAACACTTACCTCGAGTTGGTACGCTCTGTTATCTCATCGTTTACCTTTAGTATGTTTGTAGTACAACCTCAGCACTGACATATACTCGACACACAATATTATATCTCGCAGACCTTGCAGTTTCAGTGCTGTATTGTCTCCATATTGTTTATGTGGTTACCTATAATCAGTACACTTTTATTATTTCACTTCCAGTCTTCGTGCAGTGAATTTCCAATACTGACCTATGGTCTGTCAAATACATGATCTCCATAGCTACCTGTAGTGTACTCTCAATAATATTACAACACTTGCATGTAATATGTACAACAGTATTGTCGAAATACTCGCCTGTTGAAATGGTGATAACATGTTCACCAGACAGCGATTGTGGCATGAATATAACCAGAATTCGATGACTGTAATGGCTTATATTGACTGATTATTTCTAATGCTCCACAGGCAACTTGCTGCTTACCCTCCTTTTGGAGGACCCCCAAGCATTCCTGCCGGCAGTTACCCCCCATCTCAGGATTATCGCTACTACTTCAGTTCTGCAGGAAGTCGCATGAAGAAAAAGATTGGTCAGAGATGCACGTGGCGGTGCACGGCACTTATACTTTTAGTGATGTGTGTAGGCCTGTTGGCGTGTACAGTTTATTTCGCTGGTGAGTGCCTTTGAAATCGTCATTTGTGAGTCTGTGGTTTTATTTTGTACATGCCCCATTTATCTTCTCTGTTTGTAGTAGGTACGTGGCTTCTTCTTCTTCTTCTTCTTCTTCTTCTTCTTCTTCTTCTTCTTCTTCTTCTTCTTCTTCTTCTTCTTCTTCTTCTTCTTCTTCTTCTTCTTTTTCTTCTGCTGCGGCTTCTTCTTCTTCTTCTTCTTCTTCTTCTTCTTCTTCTTCTTCTTCTTCTTCTTCTTCTTCTTCTTCTTCTTCTTCTTCTTCTTCTTCTTCTTCTTCTTCTTCTTCTTCTTCTTCTTCTTCCTCTTCTTCTTCTTCTTCTTCTTCTTCTTCTTCTTCTTCTTCTTCTTCTTCTTCTTCTTCTTCTTCTTCTTCTTCTTCTTCTGTTTCTTCTTCTTCTTCTTCTTCTTCTTTTTCTTCTTCTTCTTCTTTCTTTCTTTCTTTCTTTCTTTCTTTTTTCTTAAATCGAGTCTACCGTCATTCGTTTCTGTCACGAGACGACCTCAGTGGTTCCAGAAGTTAGTACTTGTAATAATTTCTTCTGGTTATTGAGAGACAGAATTATATTTACTATGCCCTTAAACCAAATATTACTTTAAACCGCATGAATTTAATTGTTACCAGTCCTTCGCCGAGATAAAGCAACTGCGCTTGGTTTAATATTACATAACACTACGTAATACAGCCCACTGGTCTACCTGAGAAAGTTCAGACTAATGGATGTAATGTTTGATTGTAAAGCCAGTGTCATGAAATGTTATCTCCTGACCAGTCTGTAGGGCCAGCAAACGGGCAACTAATGGTCACACCTGAGATTATCTTCCCTGAGCTGAACCTTAGTGTCATAAAGGTTACATAACACAGACTGAGTGGGGTCTTTTGAACAGACTAGATCAGGAGAATTAAGTGGACTGATAGACCCGACGGCGCCTTCTGGAAAGTTTTTACACCTGCCAGTTAAATTCTCAGGAGAACAGGTGTTTGCCAATTAAGATGCTGAAACATTAGTCAAGGCCGTTCACCATGAGTGACAGGCCACTTGTTAGCGTATTTTATTTGCAAGGTACTTCAGAGGCGTGGCTTAGGTAATCTCCTGGAGGGTTGGGTAGAACCTAGAAGGGGAGAAGTTTGATTTGGACATTAGATAGATAGATACTTTTACTTCTAGCATCGGGAGTTCACTTCATTCACATCGCAGCCTTCGAGCAACAAACACAGATCGACGTAGAGGTAATTTTACGGTCTGATTCTGGTTTGGCGATTGATGGAATGTTCCCAGCGCCCATGTGACGATCAGTCCATGAACGAGACTACGGTGTGTTAGACTCGGCCAGCTGGGAACGAGGTGGGAGCGAGGAGGAGAAACAGGCGGACAACCGGCAGGGAAGAAGCTGGAAGAGGATGAAGATCTTGACAGTGCTCACGGCTGTCAGAGGTTCTATGATAAACAAGTTATGTTCATATATTGTTCGTACTTTATCATCCTCATCACACCACTTTAATCCCAGGTGCTGTTTTCTCGCTGAAGCATCTCATCCCTATCATAACATTAGCCAGTCACTGTTTGTGCAAACACAACAAACTGGGCATGTCATTTAACGGATTGTTAGTAAATAAAGCTGTATGTCAAGTTTTATACTACATTGTTTGTTAAATTCCAAGTGTATTCAGTATTACATGTTTAACCTAACTGTTAGATAGAATTACATTTGGTGGGAGCTCAAATAATAATGATAATCTTTAATTTTTAATAATAATACCGGGAGAAGATGGGACGGAGGAGTCATTTGCCCTGTCTAATAATTCATTCAGTATAATGATATAGACATCTAAAACTCCTTTCCTTCTCTTGTGGGTACCAAGTGCGGCTAATGTTAAAGTAATTACCGAGCCAATATGGCTGTTTTCTTGAAAATCCAGGACTTTGTCTGAGAGCATCATAGCTCGGATATTAGTCAGTTAATCTGGTGGAGGGGATGTGTTGAGAGAAAAATCCCTACTCAACATAGAAATCCATTAAATCCACGTGCGTCACGTCACAGTTTCTGAGAGAGATATTCTTCTGTGACATGATATCAAACGAGCCAGCATCTTAGTCTCTTTTGGCTGTCTTCCCTATTTAAATTTCCCGATATCCTCTTGCCGACGTGCTCAAAGAATATGGGATAAGTCGTCCTGTCTGTGGTCGGTGTTCTCTCTACGACAGCAAGTCGTTGTGTCTGTGGTCGGTGTTCTCTTAAGACAGCAAGTTGTCGTGTCTGTGGTCGGTGTTCTCTCTACGACAGCACGTCGTTGTGTCTGTGGTCGGTGTTCTCTTAAGACAGCAAGTTGTCGTGTCTGTGGTCGGTGTTCTCTCTACGATAACACGTCGTTGTGTCTGTGGTCGGTGTTCTCTCTACGACAGCAAGTTGTCGTGTCTGTGGTCGGTGTTCTCTCTACGATAACACGTCGTCGTGTCTGTGGTCGGTGTTCTCTCTACGACAGCACGTCGTTGTGTCTGTGGTCGGTGTTCTCTCTACGATAACACGTCGTCGTGTCTGTGGTCGGTGTTCTCTCTACGATAACACGTCGTCGTGTCTGTGGTCGGTGTTCTCTCTACGATAACACGTCGTCGTGTCTGTGGTCTGGGTTCTCTCTACGATAACACGTCGTCGTGTCTGTGGTCTGGGTTCTCTCTACGATAACACGTCGTCGTGTCTGTGGTCTGGGTTCTCTCTACGATAACACGTCGTCGTGTCTGTGGTCGGTGTTCTCTCTACGACAGCAAGTTGTCGTGTCTGTGGTCGGTGTTCTCTCTACGATAACATGTCGTCGTGTCTGTGGTCGGTGTTCTCTCTACGACAGCATGTCGTCGTGTCTGTGGTCGGTGTTCTCTCTACGATAACACGTCGTCGTTCGTAACACGTCGTCGTGTCTGTGGTGTCTGTGGTCGGTGTTCTCTCTACGATAACACGTCGTCGTGTCTGTGTGTCTGTGGTTCTCTCTACGATAACACGTCGTCGTGTCTGTGGTCTGTGGGTGTTCTCTCTACGATAACACGTCGTCGTGTCTGTGGTCGGTGTTCTCTCTACGATAGCACACTGTGGTCGTCGTCGTCGTGTCTGTGGTCGGTGTTCTCTCTCTGTACGATAACACGTCGTCTGTCTGTGGTCTGGGTTCTCTCTACGATAACACGTGTCGTCGTGTCTGTGGTCTGGGTTCTCTCTACGATAACACGTCGTCGTGTCTGTGGTCGGTGTTCTCTCTACGACAGCAAGTTGTCGTGTCTGTGGTCGGTGTTCTCTCTACGATAACATGTCGTCGTGTCTGTGGTCGGTGTTCTCTCTACGACAGCATGTCGTCGTGTCTGTGGTCGGTGTTCTCTCTACGATAACACGTCGTCGTGTCTGTGGTCTGGGTTCTCTCTACGATAACACGTCGTCGTGTCTGTGGTCTGGGTTCTCTCTACGATAACACGTCGTCGTGTCTGTGGTCTGGGTTCTCTCTACGATAACACGTCGTCGTGTCTGTGGTCTGGGTTCTCTCTACGATAACACGTCGTCGTGTCTGTGGTCTGGGTTCTCTCTACGATAACACGTCGTCGTGTCTGTGGTCGGTGTTCTCTCTACGACAGCAAGTTGTCGTTTCTGTGGTCGGTGTTCTCTCTACGATAACATGTCGTCGTGTCTGTGGTCGGTGTTCTCTCTACGACAGCATGTCGTCGTGTCTGTGGTCGGTGTTCTCTCTACGACAGCATGTCGTCGTGTCTGTGGTCGGTGTTCTCTTAAGACAGCAAGTTGTCGTGTCTGTGGTCGGTGTTCTCTTAAGACAGCAAGTCGTCGTGTCTGTGGTCGGTGTTCTCTTAAGACAGCAAGTCGTCGTGTCTGTGGTCGGTGTTCTCTCTACGATAACACGTCGTTGTGTCTGTGGTCGGTGTTCTCTCTACGATAACACGTCGTTGTGTCTGTGGTCGGTGTTCTCTCTACGACAGCAAGTTGTCGTGTCTGTGGTCGGTGTTCTCTCTACGATAACACGTCGTTGTGTCTGTGGTCGGTGTTCTCTCTACGACAGCACGTCGTCGTGTCTGTGGTCGGTGTTCTCTCTACGATAACACGTCGTTGTGTCTGTGGTCGGTGTTCTCTCTACGATAACACGTCGTCGTGTCTGTGGTCGGTGTTCTCTCTACGACAGCAAGTTGTCGTGTCTGTGGTCGGTGTTCTCTTAAGACAGCAAGTCGTCGTGTCTGTGGTCGGTGTTCTCTCTACGATAACACGTCGTCCTGTCTGTGGTCTGGGTTCTCTCTACGATAACACGTCGTTGTGTCTGTGGTCGGTGTTCTCTCTACGATAACACGTCGTCGTGTCTGTGGTCGGTGTTCTCTCTACGATAACACGTCGTCGTGTCTGTGGTCGGTGTTCTCTCTACGATAACACGTCGTTGTGTCTGTGGTCGGTGTTCTCTCTACGATAACACGTCGTCGTGTCTGTGGTCGGTGTTCTCTCTACGATAACAAGTCGTCGTGTCTGTGGTCGGTGTTCTCTCTACGATAACACGTCGTCGTGTCTGTGGTCGGTGTTCTCTCTACGATAACAAGTCGTCGTGTCTGTGGTCGGTGTTCTCTCTACGACAGCAAGTCGTTGTGTCTGTGGTCTGTGTTCTCTCTACGATAACAAGTCGTCGTGTCTGTGGTCGGTGTTCTCTCTACGATAACAAGTCGTCGTGTCTGTGGTCGGTGTTCTCTCTACGATAACAAGTCGTCGTGTCTGTGGTCTGTGTTCTCTCTACGATAACACGTCGTCGTGTCTGTGGTCGGTGTTCTCTCTACGATAACAAGTCGTCGTGTCTGTGGTCGGTGTTCTCTCTACGACAGCAAGTCGTCGTGTCTGTGGTCTGTGTTCTCTCTACGACAGCAAGTCGTCGTGTCTGTGGTCGGTGTTCTCTCTACGACAGCAAGTCGTCGTGTCTGTGGTCGGTGTTCTCTCTACGACAGCAAGTCGTTGTGTCTG